GTCTACTGGCATTTGTTGCAGAGAACTGCTGTTATGGCAAAAGTGCTGCAAGAGATATGGAAATAAAAGATATAACTCCTTCAAGTGCCTATCATGTAATTAAAAATGTCTTAAAAGAAAGACATTGACTTTAATTTTATATCCTTGAAAAAAAAAACATTTCACATGTTGGTGCTGATTAACCTCACAAATATATCCTTGAAAATAAGGACCTCAATGATACAGCATGTTTGTGGGAGGAACGTTTGTCATTTTTATCCTATCTTTTTGCAATGACAGACTTAATGCTGACCAGTGACCAATTTTATGATAAGACTGTTTGCTGGTATTATTAATGTGTGATTTATTTTAACCCCTCACCCCCAGATGAGACCAAAATTTAGTTTTCTTAACAATACCAAGATGAAAATGTGACGAGAAGTAAGAAAAACATCACCTTGTGGATGAAAAATTTTACAACCTAAAGTTCTAAGAAATAAGTGGCAAACTGTATGAGAATTCATATTTAGTTCTTGGGATTAAAAAAAGTTGATACCCTAAATGTATAACTACACATATCTATAGGTTAGTCTTTGGTAGTTGAAAATGGTTAAATGGTCAAAGTATGACTGCCAGTGATATCAGTGTGTTTGTTTACTAGATCAACAGTTGTTTAACTTTGACTTTACATTTAAGTTCATTGTTCATAGTCAATTTGTCTTCACTTTCAGTACAAACTGGAAAGTTATTGTGAGTCCAGATCCACATCATGGAAATTTGACCCCTACTGGGGTAAGTGAACTTGATTGATGGGGTTCAAAACTGATGCATAGGTTTGATTCAATTATAAACCTGATGCTTGTAGATTTAAAAAAAAAACTGAGAAGAAACTGTATATTTAATATTTTCTTTAGCTTCCTGTAACTATAGTAACAGTAGACAGTGTAACCCTTTACTGGTTTCCTATACCTTATAGGTCAGCAGATTGATGGTCCTCAGAATGGCCTTGCCCCTCCACCCTGGAGCATACCTGTGTCACCGACTCAATTCTTTAAACCTCACGAGGCATATGTCGAAGTGCCCCACACTGCTTCAGTTAAGGTACAAGCATACACCAAGAGCGTCAGTGTAAACTTAATATCATATCAGTGGATGGTGCTAGCTAATCAGAATTGTATAACTGTGTTGCAAGGAATCACTGAGACCTCAATGTTTATGCAGTGACCACTTTGTATGAAATGAATGTGTCAAGTGCCCTTAAATAGCGTTTCCTATTGCATGACTTGTTCAGTTTAGTTAGAAGTGAGTGTAAGAAGAGGGATTACCTACCCTTTGTATGCAATTTGATCGTTTGTCTTTTGTTTTTTAGCGTTTCATTACTAGCTGTGAGTTGTATTTCTTTTAGCCCTGCCATGTTTGTAAGGCTACAGGCATAATCCGCTGCTATGGATGTGAAGGAAAAAAGAAGGTAAGATCTTTTAGCATTTTAAAGATATAATTGTGAACACTTTGAAGGAACATATGAAGATGTGATACTGACCTCTTTGAAAAGCCAGAGAAGGCATATTTGTGGTTAGAAGTACAATTAATAAGTTGGTAAGCATGCAAAGACATTGAACACCCTAGGTGAGACCACAGTGAGAACAATTAATATCTAGTTCTTATTAACCGAGCGGGAGGTCTGTGTGGGGGAATCTTGACCGAGGTCGCTAGTACAGACCAAAAGCAGTGAGGTCTGTACCAGCGACTGAGGTC